AAAAATGCACATGGAATCTCCCTTTACTTAGCTCCTGAGGCCAATGATTATGATTCATTAGCTGATATAGCTTTCTCTAGGCAACCAGAACCAAGCAACAGAAGAGGTCTCAGAACCAAAAAGATCCCTCACCAGGACTTCATCTGAGAAGGAAGCCATGAAAGCTGAAGATCTGAGGCTTCTCTTGAGCTGAAGTACTGAGGCTGCAAAGCAAAAGGATAATGAATACTACAATCAATTACAAAAGATCCCTCACCAGGAATCCAGATTTGTTTTGGTGATAGTTTATTATAGAGGACCTCCTGTTTGTTTGAGGGAGGGGGGGGGGGGGCCTATTTACTAATCAGGATCCAACATTAATCATAAGCCCTAGGGCTCCAACCATCTCCTCAGGAAGGAAGAAGCTCCCTTGATCCGCTTTTTACGCTTAACACCCCTGGCCGCTTAACGCCCTGCTCCCGCGAGAGTGGAGCTCCATGCCTTGGTGATGGACAGGCCGCCGCTTAAGAAGAAGCACTTCCGGTGTCTCGCGCGCACTTCGGGCCATAAATAAGGATTGGCCTCCACGAGCAAGCCTCAGGAGGTGATGTGCTGTTCCTTTTTTTGCGAAGATCTGCATGTGTTTTTGGGCCGATTTGGGTGAACGATGCAGCAGGGGGGTGATGGGAGTGATCACGGTGATGACGGCCGATTTGGGTGATTGATTGATTTGGATAACTCATGATACTTGATCCACGTTCGACGGGGTGGCGACCCATAGAGGTTTGAGGTGCCCAGCTACTCCACTCACGACTGGATGGGACGTTTCACACCACCCCGAGCTCTGTGACTCCTGGATGATAAGTGTCTTGTTGATGGTGTTGAGGCTGACAGCTGTAATGATTTACACCAGCGATCCATGTCCATTCAGTGGATCATCTTGGCACTCTTCGCTCTGGCTCCTTTTGACTGCTTACCGTGACAGTAAAGCAAGAACATATATAAAAACATTAACAAACTAATCGATGTGATTTAGCTTCATAAAAGTATTCAAGCAAGACTCCTGACATCAATCCCCAGTGGTACCTTGAGGCTTCTTCCAATTCCCTTCATCCACATCTATGATCATCAACGGCTTGCCATCAAATGTGTCTTCATTCATCCAGCCCCTGCGGACATCATCAAATGAAAGACAAGGGGCATTCCCAGTCGCGCTCGGTTTCGAAGAAGATGGAGTTGGAGTGATTGATGCCATTCAGCGCACCCGACTCCACCACCTGCCACCACGCGATGAGACAAAGGAGCGCGTTGGGGCCGACGACGGTGTTTGCCAGGGCGCCGAAAACGGTGTCTGCCAGGGCTGTGAAGCAGCATGGGGAGCACCTACTGTAAATTATCCCTGCTTGAAATGAGGACGGGAGTATCTCCATATCATATGTTTATAAGGTTCCAAGCTCCAAATATGTCCCAATCAAGTGGTGAGGAAGGGATTTGGTCTTTCTATTGGTTCATCAAATCATACCAGGATAAATAATCTGGAATGGTATTGCATCTCCACATGGAAGTGATGTTAATCAGTCTACGACATGATGTAGCACCTTCCCCGGGCCTAGCCAGGCTAGCCCTTCCCCTCTCTCCTTTCGAGACTCGAAGACAGTCTCGATCGCGGATCGCGAGCTCATCCGAGTCACGAAGAGCTTTCTGCGGCTTTGAAGAACCTGATCCACCCACCTTCGAGCCGATTGGTTGAACAACCCACCGGCTAAAGCCGGGCCCGGTGAGAAGGTTTTGAGGGAGCTCAGTCAGCGAAGCGTTCGATGACTTCAGTCAGCGAAAAAAATTGCCTTGCTGCTGGATGGCTTCGTCTGACAAGAAGGAAACATCGAGTGCAGTAGGATTCAATCATCCCAACCCTATGTGGATCCACTGCTAGCTTCTCAGAAGGCAATTGGACCCTCCTGGCACCTACATAATAAGTCTCCTTCTTCACCGTACCTCAGGTTCGGTATGTGGATCCATGGGGGTATCACACCGAAATGATCCGGAACCTGACCACAGGGGGGGTGCTGTCAAAGCAGGTTCGTTCTCAGGAGCGGTGGTCCCGGTCTACCCACGGAAGGACGTGACTGAAACCAGAAACTGCTGCCCTTTTCCCAGCTACTTCAGCTTCTTCATCTTAGTGAGTGGTCAAAAAGCAACAAAGCCCCTTTAACTTCAACTCCTCGATCAAGTAAAAGATAGTAAAAGCTTGACAGCCCCTCTCCACATGGAAGGCACTCAGGTGTGATGAACAAACCCTAAATCCTGACCTGTCTTGTCCAGCTTGGCCCTTGAAGCGGCCGCTGCCAGGCTGATATGTGTCCAGCTTCTCATAGGGCAGTTGGGAGGGCGCATCAAGGTGCAACCAAATCCTCGGGAGTCCGCACCTTAGACACCTACCCTGGGCTGGGTGGCGTCCGGGTAAGACAACCAAGACGGGGCTCAAGAAGCTGCTGAAACGGGGCTCGGATGGAAGCCTGGTGGCTGGCTATCTGCCTTCAGAAATCTGACCAGCCTGTAGAATCTCCCATCTTTTCGGGCCAGTCATAGGCACCTAAAAACTGCACGCATACTGGTATATATCTATATATGCCCATAGGGTCCAGGTACCTCCTGAGGATGGTCTTGGAGGTGAAAGTACTTCCAGAGAATGGTCTTGGGTTGTCAAAGGACATCCTCAGGATGGCCCTGGACCCTTAGGGATGTATATATCATATTGTATCATGTATCCATGACCTACGTACCTTTAATCCTTGGCAGCCAACCCGACTCTTCCGTAAATCATTGCTCGTGTCGCCCTCTGTCTAGCTCCTATAGTTCAATATGGAATTAGAGTGGGGCGATGACAACAGATGCATACATATGCAAGCCTGCAAAGGATGCTACACCCAATGACAATCGCAGATGTTGCCAGTTGATAAACCATCGTAGATTGTTTGATGCCTGGACCAGTGGACCAGTCGGTTCTTCAGAGTTCCCCGCTCGATCCCCTCGGGGGGGTGCTTCTGAAATGTACAACCTATACAGATTTCAATGCATGCAACACACCTAACATGCCTACATCCAGTGGGTAGTGGGTAGCAAAGCTCACCTCATTTACTCTCAATTGCCTATCCGATTCTCTCACTGCTTTTTCCATTCCAGCTTTCCAAGGCTCTCTTTGAGATCTTCCATCTGCCCCGGAGCTACTGCCGTCGGCCACAGTTCATTGGGCGAAGGTCCCACCGTCGGAGGCGCCGGCGTTTTGGCTGGCCGTGGGAGCAGGTGCTCGTGGGTGAAGAGCACTGCAGGGAGAATGCAGACGCCAGAGATGATTCCCAAGAAGTAGATCACAACCGCACGACCATGGTCCATGATAATCCATCATAACGCGGAGGACGCCACATAGCGGCAGTGGGCGCGTCCGGTTCTGAAGCCCAAACCCACGACCTGCGGGCTGACCGGCGGAAGACGTACGCGCCGCTTCGCTTTCGCCACCGAGCCGGGTCGAGCGGGGGGGATGCCCCGGGAAGTTTGGCCGGGGAACAGTGGGGAGCCGGGGTTTGGTTGGAAGTAGGGAATACCAACAAAGGTTGAATGACCCGAACGAGACTATCCCAGTTGGGTACCGGGTACCCCATGGTTATCCGGGTCCTATGGTCCCGGTCACGTTCCACCTCTCTTGGGTATCTGATCTGAAATAGATGCACGCTTTCAGCATGGAGAGGTGGGCGAATTGCATGGCATTCTGGAAATGTCTACTACATGGTCTGCAGACTGCATAAAAATGCAATTGTGTTTATAAAGTTGAACAACATGAGTCTCTGGTCTAATACATATTTGCGAAAAAAGGCGTTCCCAGTTCTTGCTCTCAATGCCACGGAGAGTTCAAACCCAACAAACATACAACAGAACATTCACAACACCGATCGAGAACGGCCTGACCCGTGCCGGGTCAGCTTCACCCAAACCTGGGGCCCGCTCTCATGCGAGACCCGTGCCGGGTCGGCCGGTCGTTTCTCCCCGCTCAGCATGTGAGCGCACGTGGTGTTGGACGCTGCAGCAGTCCCAGACCTTGTGATAGGGACGGCGCTGAGGAGACTGGACACCCTCTGCAGGACGATCTGCGATGTGGCTCACAGAAGCAGAGAAGCGGCTGATCAACTAGCGTCCTGACATGAGACCTGGCATGAACAGCTAGTGCCTAATTATGGGCTTAGGCTTAGACTCTACACCAAACCACTTGCGTTAAGACTATATACACTGGCCAAACGAAAGGTGGCGCTACTTGAAACTCAATGACAACCAGAACTGGGAGACACTGGTCTCTCCTGGGGCAGGTCTCAAATTCACACCGGGAAGCCCAGCCTTTTCTCGTCCCACAACCTGCCCGGGTGCTTCACCTCCGGCCACCTCGGACGTCCACCCTCGACCTGTACGAAGTCACCTCCGTTGGACCATCTGAAGTACGGAGATACCTATCCAACACACTCCATGGGACTGCCATATATGCCGCCCCATTGACCCCTCAAACCACCCCAACTGATCGGCAGTCCTATGGCAGTCCCATGGAGTGTCTGGGTATGGCTCTATGGGTGCCAGAACAGACTTGTTCCTTTGGAGCAGCTGACCCTACAGCGTTTGACGAACAAGGGGCAAACCAAGCATAAACGTGTGGTCTGCTTGTAATTGGAGCTTAAGTCCAGGAAGCACTCTCTCCATTTCTGGAGCTTCAGCGAAAAAGGATGAACAAACACTTAACCACGCAAGAGTCTCAAAGCAAACCCAAGGACTTATGTGGAATTCCATACAGCAACCAGCTTCTTGTGGTGAGCACCGCGCTTCGTCCGAAGGCCCGTTGCAACCGGAAGAAGGCATAATTCATGGTACGTGCAAGCTTTACACGTACCAGCCTTCTCAATGGTGTAGCGTGCGCCAATCGTGGGAAACCATAAAAGAATCGCACCTTCAATTCAGAATCTTCACGGCTGATTAGTACCCCCCCATGTGGAGATGTTTTTTTGCAATCCAGGTAGGGAGGGCTTGACCCATTCTAACATGTCGGCCTGGGGAGAAGTTTACAACATCTGACTGGGGAAGAACATGTCTTTACAAAACAAATAGGTAATATAACAAAAGTAGTGTAATTTTTTTGCGGGGGTGATGATCTGACCAATCGTTGCCGTCGAATTATGACTCTTGATAGGACATGGCAAAAACATCAACACTTTCGGGTGGTTCGTCGTCCCACATAGTGGTCTTTTCATTCACCAGTACTATAGTTCTACCGCTACATAACCCAACTTCTTCACCCAATACAGTCGTCCAACCTGAACTACGATGACCATTGCATGTTCACAACTCAAAGCCCTGCTTCACTCCGAAAGGGCCTCGGGGCCCTTTCGAAGGAGATTCTCTCGAAAAAAATACGGTGGTGGTTCTAGTGGACACGAGCAGCGCCGCGTGGCAACTCCTGGGCCCGAATTCGTTGAAGATCCCCAGCACGGCCACTGGCGAAGGAAGTCTCTATCAAACCCTACACCTCGAAGTGCCTCCTCACCCAAACACTCCATGTATGGCATATATGCCTACATTGACCCCTCAAACCACCCCAATTGATCGGCAGTCCTATGGCAGTCCCATTAGTCGTGTCTGGGTCAGGTTCCGTATGACTGGACCCTCTTGGCACCCCCGTCCGTCCCAAACCGAAGCGGAGAAGGTACGAAAACGGAGGCCAAACGGGTCGTGTAACCCCCCCGGTGTCTGAAAGCGTCTCGGATTCCGAGAGTCCGACCTCGGTGTCGGCAGGCTGTCCAATTGGTCCTTTCCTGCCTCCCTGGTGCCTCGCAGGTTGAACCACCCGCGTTTGTCACCCGGGTGTCACGAAAAGGGTCCGCTGGAGCGAAGTAAGTGGCTCCAAGCAAGATGAAGATGGAGTCTCAGTTCGTACCTTAGGAATGGGTAATTACAAGAGATCAATGCCAGCTTCTTCAGATTAGTCACTTTTGGAAGATTCTTTTTCGTGACCCGAGTCCGGACGCTTGTTCGTGACCGAGGCAACCAGGTGATTAACAGGTCACGTACTGAAGAACCGACCAGGTACTAGTAATTACCTGCATGTTTTTTTAAATAGGGTCATGTCCCATTTCCCAGGGTACTTGAAGTGGGGTCCAGGAACATGGAGCAAATGCATCGACATACCAAACCCAGGAGTACAACACCACCAGGCCACCGAACCAAGTACATCACCGGGAGCTCGGTCGTTCTTCTTGACTCGTGGATCACGGTCTCACCCGTTAGGGCTCCTGGCCCACCTCCGTTTCGGTTCGATGGGACAGGGGGGCCCGGGTGCCAGGGAGGTCTGGGCCCACCTTCTCCTGAGGACATGGGCCAGGAGCCCTAGGGTCAGAAGGTACGACTGGAGCCTCCAAACCACCTATACATAACAGTGTCTCCAAACACCTTCTGAAGGTACTTGAGAAGGTACGACTGGATCCCTAGGGTCTTTGGATTTCTTTGGTCCCCAACCATCCGCGAAGGGGGGACCGCAACACCCCAAGGGAACACGACCACGGCGAGTGGCAAGCTTGGAGTGACTAGGAGCGGATGGATTCGGAGATGACAGGACCACGACCACGACCGGGGCGAAAAGAGAGACCCACCAGGGCGAAGGTTCCACATCCGCAGAAAGATCCAGAACAGAACGGCTTTCTTACCCTCCTCTGTCCCAACCTCGGAAGTACGGTGAAAAAGGATGAACAAGGAGCGTCTGAGGACTTGAAACACCTCCAATCTCCGGAATTGACCTGGGGAGCTACTAGAACCGGTGCAGAAGAACTCTTCATCATAATCCAGGAGGAATCAATAGGTTGCAATAATTTGATGTGACAAAACAAGAGCAACTGAAAGCTCAATGTCGGGTAAAA